TTTTATAAAATATTTCAGATCGATTGTCAAATAATGCTCGGCCGCTTTTTTTTTATACAGGTAAATCACACATATGCACACATGTTTTTTATTCTCTCTTTTGCATTCTGATACTATTTATCTTGTGCGTCACTGCGTCAACGTACATGGGCGTTTTGTCAATAACAAATACAGATTATTCACGTTTTTGTCTCTTGGTTTCAATGAATAAATATACATAACAATGAATATTCAAACTCTGTAGATATGATTCATCTTGTTAATGCATGGGTGGCATGTCTCTCAATGCTAAGAGAAACATCAATTAAACTGTGAGATATTAAAACCGTACCAAAAAAAGTCAAATGATCATTAAACTAAATAATTATAAAATCAGTAAATTGATTGATCAATTTCGAATTAACTAGACTTGTTAATAAATTTAAAAAAAAACAGCAAATAAAACTAATTAACAGTCGATTAGATCAAAGAGTAAATATAGAAATTGAGATATGTTAAAGAATGATTTATTTATGACTTTTTGCAATAATACTGATAAGTATATATAAAACATTGATCATTTTCTTATTATTTACTGATCATTTACGTACGGATTATTTAATCTTTTTTACTAATCAAAAATTTTCTTTTCTTAATGAATCATTTCTTTACGCTTCAGACCAATGTTGTTGTAAATTCAGTGAAGTTAATTGAGTAAAATGTACGTAAGTTTATTTCATTTACCTACTATATCAAATCAGAAGCGATGCACCAGAATGCTACTAAATTAATTTTATCTGCTGATGAATGCGACGATCAAGGGTTGTGGACTCTAACAACGGTTGATAGTCGTAAGTGATAAATCGTAACAATGTTTTCAAGTGTAATGATATCAGTATGCTCATAAAACTTGTCATGGATTTGAACTTCTTGTTTGTTTCGACTTTTGCGTGTGACAATATGATGCCATCCGTCTTTATCAAATTCTTAATTTGAAGAACAGTATTGTAATGATTTATGCATGTTAAAACTTAGTTTTTATTTAGTCCATTTTGTCAAGCATTCAATAATAATTGGTATGGCAACTTTTTGGGCTGGATCACCTAGTGAATACTGATGAGTTATACTGTTTCGCCATTAGTAAAGTCAATTTTTCTCAATAGGTGTTGATTTAGGGAATTATGAGCCAAAGTTTCAATTGTAACAATAGCAAATTTTGCTTAGAGCGATTATCTGAGTAAATACAACGGTATGAGATGTATGGTTAGACTGATATAAACTTATTTGTCAGAAAAAATCGGAACACGTCACCAAAATCGAGACTAACTTCTGGTGAACTGGTCAGTTTGGAAAAGCCATTTCTGTCGGTTTTAAAAGCAACGCAAGTGGCAGGTGTCGAAGACCTTACAAACTAGAAGTGTTCAGTAATATATTATGTTCTCTCAAACGACAAATCGTAGAGAACTGAAATTTTTAAGCAGCGCTTTTAGTACGGAACGCTAATAAATTCTAACATCACATGTTCGAATACTTTCTGGTTTGAATCAACATAGATTTGATAGATTAGAAAACCATGCGAGTTTTTTGTTGTATTAAGAAGATCGAGACGATCTTTGATTAACAATATTATTGGTATATATACTAGAGCAACTGTTATCAACACTCTGTCGCACTATTATTATAATACAATGAACTATTCTTCTTTCTTCTAATAGACGACTATTATATTACCTTGTTTTACATTCTTGATGTTATTCTGACAATCTTTCACCCGATCATTTTTCTTCAACTGTTTTCTCATCGTTTATTGTGCTAGAGAGGCGTAATCGTATTGGTGCTCGAATATTTACAGATCGACAAACATTCTCATCGATTCTTGTTGATCTTGATGCTAGTTGGATTCATCATTATAGACCTAATGATCCAATGTATTCCTATTATCAACAATATAAAACTGGCAAGCATAATTATTCTAGCAATGACGAAGAAGAATGCATAATTCGTCTTTACTATAGCGATGTATGTATCTCAACCGAAGCGAAACATCAAACCAGGGCTCTTTACTTACAATTATTAGATCACTTAGAAAAGTTTGCCTCAGATAATGATGAACAAGATGATTGAAGAATCAAGACGATATAGGAGTGGATGAAGCGGCCAATTCTGCTGTGTCCATTAAACATCGGCAAACAGTTCTCCAATATTTTATTGTCGTATTCTTGTAATAATACCATTGTGTTGTCTAAAGCGAGAGACAATCATATTCAAACCTCCCTTACCCGAGTGGAAGCGTCAAGCTATTGCTCAGATGGATTGCGGTCTAATGAGCAAACTTATTCTGCAATTTTTTGAGTGTTTCTGAGACTTCACCAAGATAACTACATTAAATATATGTACCAAACAATGAGGTCGTTCTTTTGAAACTCTCTATCGACGAATATTGACTGATCGATTTTACCATGTATCAGTATGATCTTTTGGTCGATTCACTGAAGAACATCTCAGATAATTATAGTTGAAATACCGTTTCTTTTTTGATAAGATCAAACATTATAGCTCGACGACATCTGATAATTGTTTTTTTTTCTAATATGACTCTTGCTTATCTCAATTCTCTCAAAAAAATTATCATTTATCTTCTCACAAGCGATATTGGAACACAGAACAGGTGATACACACTATCATCTGTTTTAAGAATCATTAAGATCTGCTTCATCAAGTAGCACACTACGACGGTCAACCACTTTATACTCAATTAAAAAACATGCGAATGCCGAATCAGCAAAGGTCTTTTAAAAGGCTTTTGCACGAAATTTCTATACACCTTGCATGGAAGATTTTTGTTTAGTATAGTTTGAAACTTGAAAATTTCTTTTACATGGATACAAACGGCATACATCTAGTGTTCAATGGGTGAAACAAACTTTAAGCAACACAGTTTTTGGTCAATCAAATGAACTCTCTAAATAGCACTTTGAGAAAAACTCAAGCGTTATATCGTAACATTCTAAAGAAAATACTCAACTAGAGCTACCGAACTTTCGAATACTTTACCGTCATCGAAAATTTCTTGTGATCAATCGTATTGTTAATATTTTTAAATCGTATTCATTCAGTTCGATGTTGTGAAATTTAGACTCCAGTTTTCACCAAAAAACCAGTTGAAGTCCAATAAGTGTTTCTATTTTATCGACAAAAAAATATCGTAGCAACTTTCATCGATAGCACAATTGAAAAACGACGCATTCATGCTATTTGTTAGACAAAGTGCAGAGGATGTGGAAGATATTTATCGAGGGTGTGGGTGTGGATGGGTGTGGGGTGTGGATGTGAACGGGTATGGGATGCGAATGTGGGTGTGAATATACTGGTGACAGAAAAGATACATACCCACACCCACACCCTCAAGGCTAGTATTTATTTGAGCAATAAAAATATTGGAATGAGCAATAATTAAAATACGATTTAGCAATAATTTGTGAACAATACAAAGACTTTACTTGAACAATATTATATTATCAAATGTACAATAATTAATCCATGAAATAGCAGTACTAATTTTATATTTTAGCAATAAAAGAAAGAAAAACTACATTATTTTTAGTTACAACTGAAAATAAAAAAAGAAAAGTGAAAAATATAGTATATAGTGGTGGAACCTGGATTTCGATCTAGAGGGAGCTGAGCTCCATATTCATTATCCAAAGCGTCTATAATAGTACAAGATTTTTTCCGAAAGTTTTGAAACTCAATGCAGTTCTTTACTTCCTAATATTTAATATCCTATTTAATCACTTATTGCTCATGTATTATATACAGTAAAACCTCTCTATAGTGGACACTCTTCGGACTTTTCAAAAGTGTCCACTGTAGAGAGGTATCCACTATAGGGAGATTATGTGTTCCCAAAAACTAACATCTTTTTCAAATAAGTCGACATGTTTCTAGACATCTAGAACATTAGAGAATAAAATAATCGCTATAGAGCACATTATTACTTTTCTTTTGATGTATTTTAGTTTTGAAAAATAGAAAAATCAACAATTATCGCAAAAATCTTTGATAGAGCTTTGTTTTGCTACTTTCGAATATAGATAAATGTCACTTAATTGTGATTCAAGATTAGAGATGATCCTGCAGATGAATCTGTTGCTCAGACACAAAAAAGATCAACCTGATAAACTATGACCACTTTAATTGCCCTTAATTAGTACAATTTTTTGTTCCGCAGTCAACACTCATCGATTAGACATAAAGATCTCTTTCTCTTAATAATTGTAACAAAAGGACACAAATTTTTCAACGCGATTATATATGTATACCAGTCTCCCCTATTCAACACAAAGAACGTGTTCTTTCTGTATCACTGAGATGTATCTTTTTTTCCATTCTCCGTTCGCTTCATAAAGAAGAGTCATGATGTTGAATGACTAATGATAGTCATCACGACATTCTCTTTGAACTCATAGTTAGTGTCCGCTATACAGAGGTTATTTATGAAAGAGGGACCGTGAAAAAGTGTCCACTATATGGAGGTGTCCACTATACAGAGGTTCAATTCCAGCGAAAATCGTTCCGTCGGACCGCTAAGTGTCCATTATAAGGAGGTGTCCCCTATGAGAGGTTTCACTGTATATATATAAATCAACATATGACTAGCTTTTATTTTAAATTTATTTCATAATAACTTAATCATATTAACATAATTCTACTATTTTTTGTGTTTCTTGGCAAATACATCAACAACTTTTTCAAAATCTATTTCGAATTCTTTTTCAATAGCCAACACACTAAGATCACTAAGCCTTTCATCACTCATCGAATTTCGAGCATAATTTTTGATTAATTTCATCTTAGAGAAGGATCGTTCGCAAGCGACAGATGACACAGGAAATGTGACAGCTCCTTTGATTAAAACAACAGCTGAAGGAAATGCTTGTTTCATTGACTTTAATTCAATGAGTAAATCCAATGTCGTTGATAATTTAGTATTTTTAATCATAGGTTTTATAACAGAAATTTCATTTATTATCATATTTTTTTTCCAATCGTAAATGATCTTTTAATGGTTGTAACATTTCAGTATCTAAAAATTTTTCATTCATGGGTGACAACGATGAAATGCTATTTGCTATTTGTAAATTATGACAAGAGAATCGTTCATTCAATTCAATCAATATAGAATCAATTGTTGGAAAGTACATAGTTACTCGAAAATTTTCTTCACTGGTATTATAATCTCGATGCCCAACCGATAATGTAACAATACCGTTTTTAAAACGTGTAGGAATTGTTTTTTTACGTCTCATTCGAATAGATCCATTCATATTAACATCATTTTCATTTCCAAATGTTATTGCTCGATGAAACAAATCTTTGAATGAATTTTCATCTCTCATAAGTTTTAATTGTTCAGAAATTGTTGTGATGAGATTTTGTGCACTATCGAGATCAGTGCATACTCTTTTCGGATAAGAAATGAAAAAGAAAATATTAACTTTCTAGGAAATAATCAATATACCTTTTAGTTGATCTGAAAGAATCTTAATTGGACCGAATAAACGGTGTAAAATGAATAGTGCTATTATAAATATTGAGTCTTTCAAAACTACTAGCAAACCCCTAGCATCAACTGCACGACCACCTCCATCATCTATTAAATCTTGTAATGCTTGAAGAACTGCTGAAAAATTACAGTTAATTGAATCTATAAATTTAAATCTCGAGTCCCATCTGGTAATCGTCCACTTTTTTAATGTTGATGTTGTATCTAATTGAAAAAGTATGAACAAAGCTATATGAAAATACATGTATATTGTAAATCTCTTTACGCAATTTCAACAGTTTCTGTGCATCACAAAAATATCGATTTGTAACTCCAGACGTTGTAAAATATTCATGAATTTTAGAAAGAATTGAAAAAAACTCATCAATATAAGATACTACTGAACAAACATCACATATGACCAAGTTGAGACGATGCGCCATACAATGGATATATATACCTCTTGGTATAAAATTCTGTTTTAAGATTACATGTACTCCATTGTGTTGTACTGACATGACCGAAGCTCTAAAGAAAAAAATATACGAAAGATGGCAGAGCCTAAGTATATAATCTATCTTCAATATACCCATCATAGCATTGAGCTATGCACATGGGCAACGAAATATTGTGCTTGATTAAAGAGTCACTTATTTCTTTTGCTAATGTATCGGCATCAAATAGATAAAGACGAATAAATCCCAGAAAGAATTCTTTTATTTCATATTGATCATCAACTAAACGAAGACAAATAGATAATTGCTTATTGTGACTAACATCTGTTGCTTCATCAGCTAATAGCCCGTACACATTTCCATGTAGCTAAAACAACAAAATACATTTTATAGAGATGATATAAAAGCAATACTAATGTCAGAACTAATTTGCATTCTATTATAGAGTATAAACTAATTTTATAGAATTTCTATAAAATTGCAATTAGAAAATCTTTTTCTCTTACTTTTTCAGCAATACTATCACGTATTTGATTCTCCATAATGTGTAATAATTCATCTTGTATTTGATGTGACAAGTACGTGGCGTTGCCTGCACTTTCTTTCAAAACAGCTTTAGCTAATGGATCAGTTTGAGCAGACCACTTTAATATTTCCATCAAATTACCATGATTATGTGAACTAATATAAAAAACATATTCATTGAATTTATATATTGCAAATGCATAGAACGATACCCTAGTCTACTTACTCAATACTTTCATCATGCCCATGCAAGGCTAATAATTGTTTAGCACATAGTAAAATTGCTGAACTAATATTGATTAATTTATTACGATTATTACGTATTTGATCAGCTCTTGATTTTTCAAGAACATGAATTACAGTTGTATTCGATTTTTGACGTGATTGATACTCAAAAAAGTTTGCTGATGATATTATATGTGTTTGACTTTTAACGTGCCTATCAAAGCCTCTATCAGGTGCCAAAGCACGCTTCCAGTTATTAAAACCACCTACTGTGAAGGAATCTCGTTGAATTCGTGTTGGTGTGCTGCATTGAGAAACATGATGACAATAATAACAAAATACTGAATCTAATTCTACTGAATACTCCAGCCAAGGACGATTGACGTACCATTTCTCTTGAAATGATCTATTTTCCTTCCCTGTTGGATAAGCTGCTAAATGAGGTTGTGCGGGTGAGTCTTGGGTTGTCTGACTCACATCAGCAGGATACATTTTTGATGAAGATTTTGGTTTTGGAGGTAAACTTTCAGTATTTAAAGATGAATTCGTAGCATAAACTGTGCACACATCAGTTGAACTGTAGTCATATGGAGACGAACAGGTTAAAGTGTTCGTTGTGATTGAAGAAGAAGATGATGATGGTGAAGATAGTGAAGATGATGAACATGATTGATTTGAAAATGAAAAGTTTAGACTATTATTTTCACCTCGAGGTATTTTTACTGAATACAACGAAACTATCGAGAGTAGCATTACGTTTATTAGAATTTTTATTTTCCATACTAATATTTACTATTTACAAAAAAAAATGTCCTTTAGAATCAATACTGTATTTCATGAGAGTGAAATTTTTATTTGTTCTCTCGTCAGTGTTAACATGTTTTTATTTTGATTAGTCTATTCTTAAACGCTAATAGAATTGAGACAAATATCTTCCGCTACCTCGTTACAATTAATATCATGCAATGACACGAAAGTGTCCTTCACGACACATGAACAGAAGCAATGCCAAAAAAAGTAGTTCGTGATTGACAAAAAATAGGCAAGCGGCTCTATAAACTTACAGTACATACATTGCAACTCTTTAGTGGTGAAAGTTTAACAATCTAAATGAAGCTAAAATTTCCTAGAGGGAGCTCAGCTACCTCTAGCTTCCCTTGGCTCCACCACTAATAAAAAGTCCGAGTCCATAGTTTTGGATCTGACCGGGTTCAAGCATGGACCCGGACTTTTTTATTTAAAAACTTTCGGCTATGAATGGCTCTTGTACAGTTTTAATCAAATAGTCTGATAGAGCAAACATTACTCTATCAAAATGTGTATTCAAATAACAGTTCAGTATTCGATATGATACAATGGCTGACGATTCTTTGGTGGGTCCAGAAAAACCGGTGCAGCTCCCTCCTTGACAGAAAGAAAGAGAACGAAAGACGTAGATATCTATGTATAGAAAGAAAAAGAACGAACACAAACATGTATAGCATAACATAACTCTCTTACAGCACATCTTTAGAATGTGCCATAACAAAATGAATCGATATTGCCCTTTTATATCATATTTACCTTTAATATAAATAAATTATTGCTCATTCAGTATAGTTATCGTTCATTCAATATAATTATTGCTCATTCTCCGTGTCGCCTCTTTTTTACCAACTGCGTCGCAGTTATGCGCACTGCGATCAATGCGTCGCAGTTTCGCGCAACTGCGAAATTATTTTCGCAACTGCGCGTAACTGCGACGCACTGATCGCAGTGAAAATCTATATCAGAAACTACGGTTACTGCGACGCAGACCAGCGTAACTGTGTCGCAGTAATCGCATCGTACAATCCGCTGAAACTGGCGCCGACCAATCATAAATCACTCCTCCTTATTTGTAATTGGTTACACTCCAGCAGTAAAACTTAGCCAGAGAAAGACAGTATAAAAGGCAGTGTCCATGACACTTCGGCTCATAACTCATTTTACCACGAAAGGTAGAATATATAATTCACAAATAATTTTTCTAATTTTATTTTATTTTTCTTAATTTTTCTAGATTTTAATTTTTAATTTTTCTTATTTTTTCTAATTTTGATTTTTTATTTTTCTTAATTTTTTTAACTTTTAATTTTTTATTAATACTCTAATTTTTTTTCTTTTTCTGTTTTTTTAATGTGTCAATTTTTTTTAATTCTCAATAAAGATATAATAAAATAAAAATCTCATCTATAGCGTCTCTTTTAGCAATTGCGACGCAGTTGCACCGCAACTGCGATCCTACTGTGACCCGCAATTGCGGAAAACTGCGACGCAGTTTGAGCGCAATCGAACACATGGGTCAATATAGCTATTGCTCATTCAATATAATTATTGTCCATTCAGAATATTTATTGGTCAATTTCATTATTGCTTATTTAAATTATTTTATTGCTCAAATAAAACTCCAAAAAAAATATTTGCATAGTAGCAACGCAATATACATAAAGAGAACAGAAAAAGAAAATTCCAACTATGGTTCTCGATAAATAAAAGTAAGCGTTGTTTGCAAAGTGTATGAGTAAAAATGCAGTGTGAAAATTGTAAAATAAAACTACTATCTACTGATTATGTAGTGATTAATAATAATAATTATTGTTTAAATTGTCTTTCGACAAATCCATCATTGTTCAATAAGAAAAAATCATCGTCAAATCATCCAACTGAACAATGTTCAAATCATGAAACATCAACAAAAGAATGTCAAGTATGTTTTGATGATAAACCCAAACAAGACTTCAAGATACAATATAGTAGTGGATGTCGTCATACCGAACGTTCAATATGTGATAATTGTGTTTATCAACATGTCAAAGAAGCAATGAATAAAATGTGTACGGATGACGTTCATTGTCCTGAATTAAACTGCCGTATTGATTTCAAATATTCAACAGTTCAAAAAATATTATCCAATAATAGAGATCGAGGATTATTAGACAAATATGAACGATTTGTTTTTCATAGACAATTAGAAAAAATGCGGGAATTTATTTGGTGTGCACATGGATGTGGAATGGGACAATTAAATGAAGGTGAACATAGAAATAATATTGTTACATGTGTTAAATGTTATAAGAAAACATGTTTTACACATAAAACAGAATGGCATCAAGGGTTAACATGTACTCAGTAAGTTATCAAAATCAATTGAATTTTAAATTTAACTTATCACTTATATATTTAATTTAGATATGATGCTGTGAAAAATCCAGAACTTCAAGCTTCACAACGTTGGATTGCACAAAATTGTAAAAAATGTCCAAAATGTTCTTATCGTATAGAAAAAGTAGACGGATGTGATCATATGACATGTGGTAAATGTCATTATGAATTTTGTTGGTCATGTTTAGCTGATTATGAAGCTATTCGACGACATGGAAATCATCGACATGATTCTAATTGTAAACACTATGCACGATATCACAGTTAATACAATAAAATAAAAAAAACAATCTAATAATCATTTAGAAAAATATCGAATCTTTCATTTTATATTCAATGACTTGAATTTGTCTTGATTAGATACTAACGTAAATCAAAAATAATTTACAATGCAAAGAATGATTAATAGATATTAGAAAGGAGTTATACATGTTTATATGATATACTTTTTCTTCCTTTTATCTTTCGATGTTTGAATTTTTCATTCAGAAAAAACAAAATGATATGCTTCGTTCGGGAATCGAACCCAAGACATGATAGCTGGTTAACCGGACCAGTGCTCTTACCATTGAGCTAACGAAACACGACTAACACATCATTTTTGTTTTTTCTGAATGAAAAATTCAAACATCGAAAGATAAAAGGAAGAAAAAGTATATCATATAAAAATGCAAAGAATGTATCCGTAGGGAAAATATCTAATCAAAGCCGTGTTTTCCTACAGGAACACGAGAAACCAATGATTTTCAAATTTCGACTTGAAATTTGACACAGAACATAGACCTTAAACAGAATAGTTTCTTGTGAGGGTGTGTGAGTGGGTGGAGTGTGGGTGTGGGTGCGTGTTGGTTAAGTGAAGATAAACGATCAAACACCCACGCCCACACCGACACCCCACACCCACACCCACACCGACACCCCACACCCACCCACACCCACTCCCACACCCACCCACACCCTTCAAAAGAAAATCTCATTATGTATTTATTTATTAGACAATAGCTTACCTTTCGTTTTTCATCAGGTCGAGCTTTCATATAAGCATCAACAAACATTGAATACAGACTTGAACCTTTAACTTTTTTACGTAGTTTCGTAGACATGACAAGCTTTGTCAATCAAATCATAGAGCATAAATAGAGACGCGCAGCAACAATGTATAAAAGACAAAGAGAACGAATAAGAGAAAAAAGTCTATTAAAATAAGTAACAGAAACTTGTCGACGATTTCTCTTTCTTTCATTTATAAACAGTAACAGCATTCAGTGACCGATAGTCATTTCTTTTATCGAAGCCTTTGACGATAACGACACCATATTTATTTAACTGAACAGAACGCAAAATAAAATTCAGACGATGTAGGAATGGATATCAGATCCCAATAATATGCAACTCGTCATCAAGTTTTTTCTTATACGATTGACGTAGAGATATTTTGAGAACTATCTAGCTCGTGCTAGCAGCTGAATCCAGATTAGCAAAAAAAATCTATCTCATTCCTTTGGATCGACTATCAAGACGTAATTAACAATTTTTTCATTGAAAATATAACAAGTTCAGATCAAAAAAAAATTGAATGAACCATGTCCACAAATTTTGAACCCCACAGGCTCTGTTAGTAATTCTTATACGAAAGAAAAAAAAAAGTAAAGTTAACCTCCTAATACAAATAGAATGCCATCACCCTTGGTTTAAAAGAAAAAGACAACCTTAATTAAGAGAAAAGATTAAGTCAATTTTTTTCCGTCTCACATGTGAATGCATATTTATATCATTCTTTTTTGTCTTGCTTTACTAAAATATAGATGAGTATCTTTTTTTTCACATATGACGCAGATGTGAGTGTAGTATTGCTGTAGAGGTAATTCATGTTCACGCTTGCACCTTCATGTAAACTGTTTATGGACATTATTTTTCTATCGAAATTATTTCTTTCAGCTTTTTACAAGGTTCAATATTTCTGTTGAAGGACGCTGTGAAAATGTATACTTTAAGAATTCAAATATCTGGTGTTCAAAATCTAATACAATTTGATAGACGGTCAGGAAAAAAGAATCAAATGTTTTTAAGACTAGAAAATCTAAATATCAACAAAGTTTCAGATTAAAAATATTTTCCAATCAATAGTTTATCTTATAAGTGCAAGATCAAGCAAAACGATTCTAATCCTGCAAAGACAAGTTATAGGCTCGAATCCTCTTAAAAATCAAGATACAGCGATGATGAATCACTTGAAGTTGGACTCTTATAAAATTAAAAAATCTCTACTATGTCCCATATGAATTAAATGCAAATCTTTCTTTTTAAATAGATTCATAATAAAAGAAATGAATGAAGAAACACATATTGTTCTTTCCAATACGAACTTATTTATATCAGCATATCCATTATATACATGTAAACATCGCCAATCTATTGCTTATGTAAAAATATGTATTAATCAACATAAAAACAAAAAAGATTAAGATAATATATAATATTTTTTCTAGTGGTTTTGACGACGTTTATGATTAATGGGTTAATGTTGATGAATCTATGTATATAGCTGATATAGTAGTAATCAAAGAACA